CAAAACCGAAAATATAATTTAAATAACGGTATTTTTTTTGAAAATCTGTATCTTGACATTTTGGAAAGTTTACTTTACACAACAAAGCCAACATGGGATTCAAACGCTCGATCCAGCGATTCAAAAAAAAAATAATAAACTAAGAATGAACATAAATAGTCCAGGCCTTGAAACCGATTTTAGAAACCGGTATAAACCGTTTAAAAACTGAAACCGAAAACAAAATCAAAATCAAAACCGAAAAAATTGTAAACCGGAATGCAAAATTGAAACCAAAACTTTATACGGGTTTTGCAAAATTTAAACCAAAATCGAGAAAAATAAAAACCGGCATATAAAATCGAAATCGAAAAAGAAATTTTTTCAATCGGTTTCAAGCCTCGTAAAAGTGATAACCCAAAATGCATATTTTCCCCTTATTGCATTTAAGCTTCCAGTAATTTAGAAAACACTTTTATTTTACCATTATAATATACCATTATACTACTCCATTTATTCCTAATAAAAAAGTCAACCTTTATAATCAAATAATTAATCGTGTAGTAGGTACTGAGTACAGAGAACCGATTAGGTACTATAATGTTTTTTTATAATTTGTAAATTTGTAATCTAATAATTACATTAATATTACCTAAGTATTGTAAACTAGATATTATTATATTTAAAATTCAAATTATGTGACCATTTTAAATAGTGCCATAATGGTAATGACTAATAAAAATAATTATCAAATAATTATACTGATTAGGTATCTACCAAATATAAAATATTCAATAATATTATATTTTTGGCATAATATTGGCAGCAAATAGTCGAGGGTGTGGAGATATGGAGTTGGTAAGTAGACGGGATATATCAATAAACAAACTATTTTTAATTATAGATATACCAACTACCAATATAATATAAATACTAGTCCGTTGTCCGTACATATAGCCTAAAGGTATTATTTTTATTATAGTTTACTATCTAGTATCTAGTTGAATAATTAATATAAATAACATTGTACAGGAAACGGTTTCTTCTGTAAATGATTTATTCCAGAATTTTAGTATTGTTTTGTTTTCAATTATAAGTCATAGTATTATAAATAATTACCCGAATACCCAACATCCATCCAACTACTAACCAGGTACCCACCCACCCACTCTCCAAATTTTGTACGTGTTGCTCAAACGGGCGCACACTAGTTGCCTCCCGAAGTCAGAAAGGTCAATAATTTTTATACGAAATGCCTCCCGACTATATACTAGTTGCCTCCAGACGTACCCTAAATTTTATCGTAAACGAAAAGGGTCTAGTACTAGTAACCTTCTAATAGCCAGGTAATAAATATACAAGTGGTTCCAAACAGTCATTTTAAGCTAAACATAATTTATATTGATTTTGAAAAAGCCATACACAGTTCTATAACATGCATATGGCCAAATATTTCTATAAGAGGATGTCGTTTCATCTTGGCCAAGCTTGGTGGCGTAAAATTCAGTCACTTGGATTAGCTTTAAATTACTGTAATGAAGATTCGATTAGAGAATACTTAACGTGCATATTTGGCCTGTCATTTTTAAACCCAGCGGAAGTCGGAGTTTTCAATGGAACTAGCAGCCATACAGCCTTTAGCCCTTTGACGAGTATGGACGTATATATACGTTTTGTTGAAAAGCTCCTCAGGGAGTATGGACGTATATTTACGTTTTACACAAAAACGTTATTTTATCTATGTGTTATGTCCGTATTAAATTTACGATAATTTATGAATCATGTGCTGCCATCTACTGGCTACGTATATTTACGTCTTTACTAAAATAGCGGTATCGTATTTAAGACGTAAATATACGTCTTTACTTTAAATAATTTATCCAAGTTGCTCATTCCTAATTCACTCCCTGGGTGTAAACTAATAAATCCCAATTCACTCTCCAAAGGATTAGATGATAAAATAACTCAATTTTCGGACTATTTAGCCACCGGACTACTAACCACCTCATATATGGGCAGAAAAAAGTTCAAGCATTCAGCGCACAACTAATGCATGCGAATCTTTCCATAGCAAATTCTAATAGCTATTTTGAGTCGCCGCATCCTAATATATATAAATTCAACGAAGTTTTAAAACTAATTCAAACTGAGACTGTAATTTTAATACAAAGTTCTAATAAGCCTAAACTACATGGTCGATTACAAATTAGAAACAAATTAATTTTCATTGATACCCAAATAAAAAAGCTGAATGAAAAAAAAATATCAAATTTTGAGTACCTACAAATATTGGCTAAAAAATATAAGCCAAAGCAATGTTATAAATAACTTTTTGTATTTTACCAATTTTGTTTGACTTATATGACTACCTAATTGATTTATCATTTTTATAGTTGTGTTATTTGTGTATAAATGTCGTATATTATACCTAAGACTGATGTGTTCTAACTGAACTATATTATATTTTTAACACCATAATGACTTAGTTTATAATAATTTATAATTTGTATACCATTATATTACCACACTTTTCTTTTATTATTATATGTACTACATCCTATTTTGTTTGACTTATTGACTAATTGATTTATTATTTTAATAGTTGTGTAATTTGTATATAAATGACGTATATTATACCTAATAAAACATAAAATATTTATTAATTATGTTAATTTTATAAATGCATCTATTTATCCGATTTTTTTTAGTGAAGTTTATGAACCACTTCTTAATTCTGTACGGGAGGCAACTAGTGTGAAAATTCTTGGGAGGCAACTCGTATATAATTATGAAAAACCTGGTCATCGGAGGCAACTAGTGTATATTAACCTTTTTATTTACGATAAGGATGGGAGGCAATTCGTATATTTTGGGAGGCAACTAGTATGCACCGGCTCAAACAACACTTGCACCATAGGATAGCCGCAACTGATAATATGACTATAATAATTTGACATATTTTTAGTTCAATTCGATTCAAATACAACATATTATTATACTGTGCTATTACATAATAAAAGGCTCCTATATATTGTATCAAATGCAGATGCAAAATATTAAAAATCCTTAGTCAGAGTTGTTTTTTTTTTTTTTATAAGCATTTAAAGTTCAAAAATTGACAAAATATGGAAAAATCACGAAAATTAGCAAATTATTTTGAGTTATGAATTCGTAAAGAATTCATAAAAGATTCTACTGTACATAGTACTATTTTTTCATTAAAATTTAATCAATATTAGTTGAAATATATTTGAATGCAGAATGAAATATGCACCATAAACTGCAGCTTGTAATAGATTGTTTTAATTTTTTTTATCAAAGTAAATGTTGATAAATGAATTATTTATTTATAATTATTATGCTCGTTGAAAAAAACTTTAAAATTGAATACAAGATTTTTTATAAATAGTACTTATACATTAATTTTAAATTATACGAAATAAAAAAATGTATACGTGTTTGAATTTTTGTTATTTTTATAAAATATTATTCGTCAAAATAACGAAAATTTACAAATTATCTAGTACCTACATATTATTATAGTTTAAAATGCATCAAATTTTCAATTTACAATTATAACAAAAATGTAAAAATATTGAAAATACATAATATGCAAAGTTATTTTATTTTGGACGTTCCCGCAAATGTTGATAAAATTGGATGAGTAAATATTATTTATGATCAAAAATTAACAATTTTAGTTATTTCAAAGTTGTGAATTTAAAAAAAAAAAATTGATAGTATGGTCTTGAAAATTTTCACTACCACAATACGTAGGTATACCATAATTTTCAATAGATCAATTTCATTTTAAACATAATATACCTGCACGATAATATTCACACTGTTTTATGGTACGTCTGTATCGATTTAGGTATAAGAATAACTGTAATAATTTGACATAATAATAATTTAAAAATAACTTTATAATATTGTGTGATTTGTTTTTAGAAAAAAATAGTCAAAATAACTATGAATAAATAATCATAATATAAATAAATTATAAAACATTCTTAGAAATAGAGGCTGACAAACCGTCTCAAGTATTTGTAAGGTATTTTTTTCATAGGCATGACATTTTGTTTCCAATATAACACTCACATAATAATATTACAGTGACCTTATCGACGACGGTGGACCTGTGTATTCCAAATCTACTGTATATAGCATAGTCGACTTCCTCTGTTTTTTATTCTTGTAACTAAATTATTGTCCACGTACCTCTTCAGAAGTCCTATGGAGATGTGAACCGTTTTTGAGTATATAGGACCCCTCTTAGGGGGCCCCTCGACCATCGTAAGCTCAATATAAATAATAATTTCTTCCAAAAATCTCTATAGAAGTGCAGAGGGTTTATGGTCTATTATCACGGGCTACAAATTTTACCATTTGACACATGCGTTTTTTCCTCTGTTTTCCTCTACGTGGTTAAATAGGTAAATAGTTAAAAGAAAGATTTTTGGGCCTAATGGATCATTTCAAGTATTCAGAACATGGCTGAAAACCAAATAATTATACTTCATAAGACACATATTGTGAGTTTTAAAATTGAATTCTAGCTGTGAACAGATAACATACGTTTTATATTGTCAATATTTATATATTTATTTATGAAGACTGATAAATATATTTTAAAACTAATTATTTGCAATTTTTTATTATAAGTTTAAACCAAAAAGTATGCACCTATTTACTATTATTTTTGTTATAATTTTGTTGTGTCGTTCATAAGAGATAAAGTAAATAACCATGTTATTATTAATTACCTACTATATTTAAATTTTCCTGTATCGCAATTACATATTACAAAATGTATTTAGCCTGGTTCAAATTTGGTCTTATATTATCAGTGTTGGGAATTAGGTATCTAGATAATTTTATTCATTTAATTATCTTATCTAGATAAAAAAAATGAGTGGTTATATATTATCTTATCTAGATGAACTAATGAAAGAAAATCATTTGTTTTGGGCTGTAAGCGAATAATCGGAAGTCACACTTACTTGAATATCACTGAAACAATGACATGTATGACACAAGAATATAATATTCATTACTCAAAAATAAGCCATACGGTTACAGATAATGCAAGTAATTTTGCAAAAGCTTTTAGAACTTTTTCAACAAGTGTAAAATCAACTCAGTCAACTACTTTAAGTGTAGGTGATTTAAACGAAGATGGATCACCCTTTGAGGATTCAGATGTGGAAACTGAAAATATAACTGTGGTACATATTGGTCAAATATTTACCAATTCTGAGGATCAAAATATAGACGAGTCATTTTGTTTACCCCCACATATGAGGTGTTGTGCACACACTCTAAATTTAATATCAACAACTGATATAAAGAAAATTAAAGATGCAAGTTACATTAATATATCTGAATCAACATTCAAAAAATTGTTTAGCTTTTGGACTCTCATTAGTAGAAGTACAGTTGCTTCAGACAAAATTGTAGAAAAGTGTGGCTGTAAATTTCCTATTCCTGTAGTAACTCGTTGGAACTCTTTGTATGACTCTAGCTTAAAAGTTTTAAAGTATAAACAACAGTTGACTAAAGCATTTGATGATTTGCATTTAAAAAAATTAAAATTAAGCGAATGGACTTTTTTGGAAGAATATTGTCAAATCATGGAACCATTAGCTATATCACTAGATAAGTTAAAAGGTGAAAACAATAGTTTTTTGGGGTATGTAGCTCCAACTATTTTAGTTCTAAGGCGTCTGTTAATATCTTTTACAGATTTGAAATACTGTAAACCATTAAGCTTTGCTATTATTCAAGCTATTGAAACTCGTTTTAATTATATATTGGATTTAAGTCGTCCAGAAAGTAAAGACTTTATTATAGCCTCTATAAGTCATCCCAAATTCAAGCTAAGTTGGTTACCACTTAGGTATATGAATTTATGTAAGAACCTATTTATAACTGAATGTTGCTTAAGAATGAATACCGAAACCAAATCAACAAATTTGACTATTACACAATCTGATAAGGATGACAGTGATGATGATTTTTTCGATAGTATTTGCAATGACAACGATTTTACCAGCCCATCTGAATCCGAATCAAGAAATTCTAATTTCGCAAATTTGCAAGCATTATCTTTCTTAAATTTGAAAAAAAAAGATCTTGACATTTTAAATGATTTTCCAGTAATTAAAGAAGTATTTTTAAAATATAATACTACCATTCCATCATCGGCAGCTGTAGAGCGGCTATTCAGTAAAGCTGTTCAAGTGTTAACAACAAGACGCAATCGACTCAGTGATGATACATTTCAAATGCTGTTATGTTGTAGATCAAAATATGATTTATAAAAAATAATTTTTTCAAATTGTTAGTCAAAAAATGACATAATATCAAAGTTGCCTTTATTTTAACTATTATTTTCTCCGTTGTATTATATATTATAATTTGTTATTACTAATATTCAAATAAAAATATTACATTATTATAAATATGTGATGAAGAAATAACAATATTTTTTTTATATGATAATAACATTAAGTTAAAAAAAAATTATCTGTTTATTATACAGATAAAATTTTATTTATTTTTATCTTTATCTAGATAAAAAAAAATGAGTGGTTATATATTATCTTATCTAGATAAATTTTGAATGACTTATCTGTTATCTTATCCAGATGATTATTTGGTCATCTTTTCCCAACACTGTATATTATATTTCTCTAATTTATTAGTTATATTGATGCAAATCAAGGTGTTTTTTCTTAGGTATTATAAAATACAATTTTAAGCTATCAGTCGACCTGAATGATGAAAACATAATATTATAGATCTGTATTTTTAAATTATATTTATTAATATCTTTTTTGATGGTTCGTTATTGTTTTGACTGTACGTAAGAACATAGTTTCATATTTTGTATAGTTGAAATATTACAGACATCAAATTTCACTTGTGCAAAGGAAAATAATACACTAAACACAAAATATATATTTTAAACTTTGAAAACTTGTGAAAAACCCACGGTGAGTACCTACACAAGAAAACTAAATACATTTTTAAATCTCGCATTTTCGAAAAAATAATTTTTACATTGACAAGTGTAATATAATAATATATAATAATAATATTCAAAATATAAACTAAATATTGAAATGTTCGTGTCGTCTAGAACTTTTTACAATTTCATTAAATGTCCTATGGTTTATTTGTAGGGTTTATTTCTTTTAATTTTTGTTTTGTTCCAAACTGCTGTTGCGATCTCACTCTTTCCGTCGGCGTCAGACCATCCCTTAGAATTTGCCTGTTCTCCTGGAACCTATCATTTCGCATCTGGACATATTCTCTGGGCGGTTGTGGTTTAGGTTTGAACGATGACGATGGATTGGGACTTTTCGATGATGATGGTGGAATTTTGTCTGAAAACATTCTGTATGCTGAAATAAAAAAAACCCCCTTTAGTAAATACACTGGTGCGTACGGAACTCAATAAATCTGAATACCACATCACCCAAACAACTAGGTACATTCCATTAAACGAAATCGTAAATATAATACAAATAGAGCATAGTCAAATTAGTTTTGATCTATTGATATTTGAACGTTATTTGAAGTTAATGCATTACGTTTATGTAAAACACCTCAACGGGTAGGTAGTAAGTACGCATTATAAATAGGCGAGCAGTCGCTTAAAGTGTACAGATTAACTGGTTTGCCCAAATTGATTTTATATTTTCATTAATCCTTTATAATCATTTACAATTGAATATAATATAAAAAATATTATAAACAACTATTACACCTAAATCAATCTTTTTAAACGATTCCGAGATGCTACAAATTCTTAATCAATGACGATTATTTAAAATCAGGAAATCACAGTAGGTAAATTTGAATAAACAACAAACAAATAATTCCATTTTAGTTTCTCTACAAGGTAGAATGACGTACATTTTTGACATCTTAAAAATATAATACTACTATTGGGTATAGGTATACTCACATCTAGAACAAAAAATGCCAGTGAACTCAATCCTTACAGCGTCTTTTGACTCTGGCACAATACAGACACTGCGATACTGTGGATGAATACCTAGTAAAATTAGAAATAAACTTGACAATGTTATGGGAAAAATGAAATATGAACCTACCTAATATTGAAATTACAACGTAAACGCCAATATTGTCAAAAGCGGACGATTGAATTCGTTCTCTGGCAGAGTCAATTTGCTTTGCAATACTAACATCTACGCTACTAGTAAATCATTAGTATCGAGACAATTTTCAGTCGGATGAACTATAATATGAATAATTATTCTTTAATTGGCCGATGATAAACTATATATGATTCATACAAGATAATATAATTCGACACATAAACCATAGCCAGTTGTATTATATATGATAATATAATGGATTATACGGTCACATTCATTGAATTTTAATTGTATTGACATATAATTACTCATCTAATAAATTATTATATATGAAATATTTCAAATGCCATGATTACGTCATTTTTACATCATTTGTAATAATTAGCTATAAAAGTTGACCATTTTATAGTTGTTTAACTAATAAATAGTTTGTAAACTTCCGATTTCATGTATTTCGTCAAAATTTTAATTTAAAAAAGAAAAATGCGCAAATGTATATTAAATATTTTTCATCGGCTATGGTAACAATAATATCAGGAGCCTTGTATTAATATGTCATGGCTTTTGAGCCAACAAATAAGACTGTATTGATATTTATAGAAACTAACTAAAGAAATTGAAAATTTAAACTTTCCATAAACAGCTCTTGATGAGTACAAATATTTTTTAGGGTGGGGAAAACGAAAATATAGACACTCAATGAGATTTTCATGTGTTTACAGTTACTGGTTTTGGAATTACAAGAAAATATGATATCATACCCACATATTGTGTTGTTTCTGTCTTACAAGCTTACAACTTATAGCAAATTTGTCTTCAGTAGAATTAATTTTGTGTATTTATGTTGATTCAGTGTAATACATTTATATTAATACAAATTTAGTATTTAGATTATTGCAGAGGTCGCTGGGTCATAACTTGCTAAAAAATTTAAATAATATAAAAAATGTACAATGTTCATAAAATTGGTTCTGGTGATGTTGATTGTTCAACGAAGATAACACATGTGTTATCTGACATTTTAGATACTGAGTGGAACGATAAATGTAATGATTTTACAATGATGTGTGTTTTTTATTTT